CAAGCCCAGCTGCAACTACGCCTCCTCTGCAACCATGGGACCTTCCAACATCAGTTCCACTGGGCCAAAAGCAGGAACACTCGTGACGCTCGAGAGGATGCGCTCAACTCTGCGGGCACCGACGGTGAGGTCAAATGTTCGGCTTGCGAACAGACCGTGCACGTGGTCCTCACGAACCGCCCCTCCGGCCTGTCCGACAAGTGCGCACATATCCTGTGCTCCGAGTGCCAGGAGGGTACAGGCGACAGCTGCCCGGTGTGCGAAGCGACGCTGCGACCCCTCAAACACCAACGTCCCCCGGAAATCGGGATCCCCCAGTCCCGTCTGCACCAAGGCGACCTGCGCTCCGAAGGCTGCTCGTCGAAAATGGTCGCCCTGGCCGAGGACCTGCGGGGCGCCGCCGCCGCGGGCGACAAGAGCATCGTCTTCTCGTGCTGGACGACGACGCTGGACCTGATCGGCCAGCACCTGAAAGCGTGGGGGATCACGTTCGAGCGCATCGACGGCGAGCACTCGGTCGAGCACCGTCAGGACGTGCTCGCGCGGTTCGGGGCCGACCCGCTCGTCCCCGTGCTGATCATGACCACGGGCGTGGGCGCGTTCGGCCTGAGCATCATCGCCGCCAACCGCGTCTTCCTCGTCGAGCCGCAGTGGAACCCCAGCGTCGAGGCCCAGGCCATCGGGCGCACCATCCGCATCGGCCAGCAAAAGGCCGTGCTGGTCACGCGCTACGTCGTCGAGAATTCGGTCGAAGAAGACATCCGACAGTTACGGCGTCGTAAGGAGGACAAGGCGAAGATGATCAGCGAAGACAGGGACCCGGCTGACACGAAGACAGCCTGTCGCAGGAAATCGTTGGAGAAGTGTATTTGCGGCCAAACAACTTGATATGACTGTTACGACACCTACGGAGAATGCAAGCTCTCGGCAGCGCAAAGGTAGGGCTCGGAGGCGGAGCCGCAACTCGGTAGGAGGTTGGAATTGAAGAGAAGCTACCAAGCCGTCAAGCTAGCTTTGGCCCCCAAAAATGTGCAATGCCATCTCGATGGGGGAAGTGGAAAGCGCGGATGCCGGCATGAGGGGCTAGCTGACCGGTGAAGAGGGCGGCCGCGAGCTGCGTGGGCAATATGACGCGAGATCACCTAGCCGGATGCGCCCGAGTAGCCACGAATTCGATGATTCGCCCTCCTTACTCCCTAAGCAGGAATAGACCGGCAGATGAACACCCTTAATGCGTTGTAAGTGGACCCTCAGCCCTTTTTTCCGGGACTTTGCGGTGAACAAACGGCCATTGAGTTGCTAGGCCTCTATCTGGGGCCCTTCATCGACGTCGGCCGCGCAGAAGGGGGTTATAACAATGATCTCCTACCATAATTCCGCAAAAAGGCCTGTCTCGAGTCTATTACTTCTCGATCTAGAACAAATTTCCTCTCCTCCTATGTATCACAACTATCCCACCGCGAGCCTCGCGATTCGCGAAACGGCACGCACATGGAAAGTTCTTTCGCGCTGAGGACGTTTCAGGCCCTCACTGTTATCGCGTCTGCCTTATTCTTCACTATTGCCACGATTGCCACCTGGTGCTCGCGAACCCAGGAAGCGAAGGCTAGAGACTTACGTAACGTTCAATTTGGCCTGACTTGTGTCGAGACCTTACTATGCTGGGCGGAAGCAGCAGTCAACCTAGAGAAATCTGACCCGCACGAAATTTCCGACCCGGACGCCGTGTATGCGCTCTTCCTGTCTTTGATCTGGCTCGCCGTCTCTCTTAGTCTCACCGCAACCCCAGAGATCCCACCCTATCCTCATCTCGGAACATACGCGATCCTTTTCGTCTGCCAAGGCATGGTCTTGGTACTTTCCCCGCGCCTGACGCCTTCCAGGGATGAGCAGCTAATTACACGATCCTTACTTCAACAACTCCAGTTTACAGTTGAAGCTTGCCTTCTCGGAAGCTTTCTGCTTGGGCGAAAGGAAATCATAGGAAATACGGGTGAAGTGCGCCCACTACTGAGCCATGAGTCAACCTCAGACGACATTCAAGAAGCGGACAAGGAAGAAGCACAAAGACGGCGCATTCGAAACCGACCATTTTGGGAGTATCTTGCCTCGTTCAAGGTATTCGTGCCATACATGTACCCACGGTCTCCTAAGTTACGGCTTTACTTTGGCGGAATGTGTATCACCAGTGCTCTGACAAGGGTGGTGAAAATTGCTCTCCCACTCAGCCAAGGCATGATCGTCAACGGTCTAAGACAAGGAATACCTTACAAGGCAATCGTACTGTATGCGGTGCTTGGCTGGTTGTCATATGTCTTCCAGGCGATTGAAGGCTGGTTTTCGGGTCGGGTGACCACCGATCTGATGTTAGCCTTACAGCGACATTGCTACGATCACATCATGGGCCTGTCGGCCGATTTCCACGATTCCAAGACATCTTCGATCACATTGAAGACGACGGATCGTGGTAAAGCAGTGATCGACTTGCTTCATGACATTGTCTTTCAATCCTTGCCGACATTAATTGACTTGGTTTCGGCCGTCGTGACCCTCACATATCTCTTTGGGTTTTACATGGGCTTCATGATTGCATTCACGGTGGTCCTTTTCACCTGGCTAGCCTTCAAAGCGCTCGCCGAAAAGAGACCTATTCTTCGGTCATGTGAGGATGCGTATGACGCGCAGTACAACCAAATGTGCAAGTCCGTATCGAATTGGCAAATGATATCCTATTTCCGAGCCATCCCGTATGAAACTCAGAAGTATGGAGAGAAGGTCGACATATCTCGAAAACAAATGTTCCGTTGGTATTCGTATGAACGTCTGACTTGGGCCCTACGTCACCTGGTTCACTCCATCAGCCTCGTTGCCGTATGCATTATCGTTGCCTTACAAATCGAACGTCAACAGCGCGGAATTGCTGATCTGGTGGCCTTCTTCACATACTGGCCGCGGCTCACCCGTTCACTGGCCATTTTGATAAGCGAGTCGTCAACAGTAGCTGGAAAGCTAGCGAGCGCCGAGAATCTGGTGGCGCTTTTGGAAGAAAAGCCACGCATTGAAGACTCGGAGGGTGCTGAAGACTTCAAGTTCAAAGGAGGTGCGGTCGATTTCAAAGAGGTTTGTTTCTCTTATGATGGCACACGACAAGTGGTAAAAAGTCTCACCTTCCACGTGGAGCCTGGTCAGACCGTAGCGTTCGTCGGAGAAACGGGAAGCGGCAAGAGTACCCTTTTGAAACTCCTTTTCCGATTCTATGATGTTCAAAGCGGGAGCATCTTGATTGATGGCCAAGACATCAGAGCAGTACGGATGGACACTTTCCGGGAGGAAATTGCGGTGGTTCCCCAGAATCCTCCCGTGTTCACCGGGTCAGTGCTGGGGAATGTCAAATACCCCGGAATGGACCGTACGGATGAAGAAGTTATGGACGCTTGCGACAGAGCAGCGCTACACGACAAAATCATGTCACTTACTCATGGTTATTCACAAAAGGTGGGCGAGGGCGGCGCTACGCTCTCGAATGGCGAGGTTCAGCGACTTGCGATTGCCCGAGTGTTCCTCCGAGACCCCGGCATTGTGTTTCTCGATGAAGCCACGAGTAGCGTCGACAACATCACCGAGGAGAAGATTAAACACAGTATGCGCAAATTTTGTCAAGGTCGGACCACGTTTATAATTGCGCATCGTCTGTCTACAGTCCTAGATGCCGATCTTATCCTCGTCATTCAAGGTGGCCAGATTCTCGAGTCTGGCAAACATGGAGACTTGTTGAAACTAGATGGGCTTTACAAGAAGCTCTGGGATAGCCAAGTGGGCATCCAGTCGACTCCGCAAAGGCAGGAAGAGGATACCATCGAAGAAAACGCCGATGCCTAATCTCAAACACTTGCGACCTCAAACGTCTCGCAACAATTTCAAGCACCGTAGGAGACCCAGGCACTGGTGAGGAAAATGCACATCGGGAGGAGTAGAGAGGATCGCCAATAATCTAGCGACATATACTGTAATCCTGCAGACGTTACTGGAGGACTGCAACCAAGACCTCGAAAAGAAACTCGCCTTCCTGGGCGTTCAAGAATAGGTTGAGCTTTGGGGAGTTGATGGTAGCTTCGTCAGTGACAGAAAACATCAGTGATAGCTGGCGGTAGTTACATTGTGAGAGGACAGGTACTATTCTTTCCGGGACCTGGCGCGGCTCCACGGACCTCGCCCGCCACTCACTGCCGCGTAGGATGACCCTTCGGCCACCGGAACGAGATATTCGAACAAGGTAGAATCTCACGACGTTTACTTGGGAGATATGCCATAACTGACATCACTACGGCCACTGGACTAGATATCCATGGGGTTGTTGCCCTAACCGAATGGGGAAGGTTAGCGCGAGCGCCTCCACTAGATATATTGAACTGGGGTGAGGCTTCTAGCCATGGGCGTCAACTCGTACGGCGGCAGGTAATAGGCAACAGGCACGTTCACATCTTGTAAAGCAGTCAAATTGGTTATCTCTGTTGTTGTGTTTCTCTGCCTTGTCGAGGTGTCTCGACCCGTCTGTCCTGTCTATGACAAAAGAAAGGACTATCAAGCCAAAAGTGGCACCTCGAACTGACCAATCAGAGATGGGCAACGTTTGCCTGTACAGTGTACAGCCAAAAGTCGACCAATCACCTCGTCCGTTTAACACCTCAGGTCCCCTTCAACTTTTTCCCGTTACAATATAATCAATCAAGTTGGTTCAACAGGGGATGTTTTCGTAGCAGCGCATATACTTCTTCATATAACAAAATAGTTATTACCCTCTCTCTAAAGCTCCGACTCGCAATATACGGAAACTTGAAAACTAATTCCCAAATCGCTTGGGAATTTTTAATAGCGTTGCAATTCTTTGCTTCTAAGGCCAACGTATCCGCTTCAAGTATCACGCCTCTTCTAATTATTTCCTATCTGATGAGGATGATTATAGGCTAAACAAAAGGGGGATTGGCTATTACAGGGCTTGCTTTCCTGATTTCGGGTAGGAGATTTCCCCCTACTAGTATTTAAAGCCATTTTCTTTGCAATGCTAGCATTCGGGTCGACCTTCGCCGCATTTGGCCTTTCTTTGACCGCATGAGTCGTGATGCCTGCGCGAGCCGGTTTTCGTTGTGATTGTGCGCTTACCATGTGAGCGTTATACCAGGCACCGGAGGGTACGGGAGAACCACGCGTATATTAACGCTAAACCCTAATTATGGGCTACTTCGAGTTCAACTCACTATTATCTGCCAACATTGCCATTACGGGTTCTGCGAGAGAGCGAGTTAACAAAACTGGATAATTGGTCAAGGAAACTGCGACGTGGTTCCGTCCATGTCACAATCGTACTTACTGCCCATTTCAAGTCTGACAATGTACGGTAGAGAGAGCAGGCTTGTGACCAGGGCGCAATCCTCAGGCAGATTTTGGTAGGTGCCATCCCTCCAAGTAATACAGTTCCTACAATCACGAATTCCTAACCTCTGGCAAATGTCCACTCCTAACGCGGTGCTATTGGATATATTCCGCGACAGGGCTGATACAAGGTCTATGAGCAGGACGTACATGTAAAACCCCGTTGTTTACTCCCAGCAAGTCAAGAGAGCACCAGTTTATGAGTTATGTTCGTGCTGATGTGATTAGTCATCAGCAGACATGTCGGCGCCATGTCGGTCCAAATTTGTGACTCAACGGAGGAACATGGTGAATTCTACTAGGTCCTGGGGACCGTCAGACTATATACTCTGGAGTAATTTACACAGGCCTACTAGCGCCGTTCGATGGCCTTCGGCCGAAGGCCCTCGGAGTACCTTCCCTGACCGTCATTACATAGCCTTGGCAG